CGAACCCATGGACCACCTGATCCTCCTCCTCGAGTTCCAAAGATCTTCCTGGACGCGGCGCTCGCGTAATCAGGAATCGGGCGAGTGGCTGATAGCGCGCGTTTCGCTCGAGGGCATCGAAGACATTCGTCCCCCGCAGGCGACGCCATTGCATTTTAAATAGCTTGTTTTATGCGAGCCGAAATGAAGCCGAAAAAATTAGCAGGGCTCGGGCTTAATGGAGTCGTAACTCGGAGGATGCTGCGGCGATGCGGCTACTCTGCCGCTAACGGTCCCGCCGTCTTCTCCGACGCATCCGACGCATCCGACGCAGAGTGTCCTTTCCTCTTCCGTCCCGCCGCAGCCTCACAATGCCGGCCACTGTTTAATCCCGACTCTACCTCCGGCTCTCCAATCTCGCTCTCGCTTCTCCCTCGATTCCACCGTCGCGCATTCGTCGCGCATTCGTCGCCCGGCCGGCCGCCGGACACAAGATCCTCCTCATCCGAATCATTGGCTATATCATATGCCGAGTCGCCCTGACTCACGGCCGTCTCGATTTATACAATTTTAAGTATTTACGCGTCTACCGCGAGATAATTTCAAAATGATCCAGCAATACCGCGCAGGCGCGAGAGAGAGAGAGAGAGAGAGAGAGAGAGACAATCTCCGCGACACGCGAGATAAGGTGCCCCGTGCGAGTTACCGCATTGACCTTTTGCTACTACCCAAAGACTCAGACGAGCATTGCGTAACGATGCGGCTCTTATCGGAACGAGAGCAAAACGTGATTTCGATTGATCAAAGAGAAATGACACCTTGGAGCGAGGTCAAAGGGCGGATGCTGCAGGCTGCACAAAGGTTAACGGGATGTCGCGCGCATCCCCCGCGGCTCGGATCTTCAGGAAAGTCTCGTCGCTTCAACCTGTGGATCGTGACTCCTCGGGTCCAGAGGCTACGTGGCCCAGCATCCCGGCTCCAGTCGCCCGGACTGGCGCAGCACAGTCGTTTGTCAGACTGGTCGCGCGTGCAGGCTGGTACCCTTTGGCCTTTTATCGGGCCGGACTGGAAGTAGAGGGAGCGAGCAGTTCACGATATTCGACACGGCAGGGAGTCCCCAACGCCGCGGCACGGCAAAACGCGCAACTATTTTGAGGCGCGGCGCGCTTCGATGGTACAAGGCTCCTGGTCTTACGGGCATCTGGCTCCTGTGCGGCAGCCGCGCAGCAGCCGCTGGACCGATCCCGTCGCTCTCGTGGACTGGATTCCTCGGGAGATGGGGGCCTTCGGAAGGCAACCCCTAAATATGCCAGCCGCGTTAATCCTATACCGGATTTCGGGGGATTCCTTGGATTATCGGGCCACGGGCTGGGGCGTCAGTGGAATAGCAAGTGTGACGTAGTAGGAAGCCAGTGGTCACGTCCCGATGGTGTCGGACAGAGAGACGCGGCCGATTTCCCCTTTGAGGGGATAGAGAGACAGAGTGAGAGGGAGAGAGACAGCATTACGGCCGGCGCGCCGCGACTATCAATGGATATCGGATCTGCTAAATCTCGTCTTATCTCGAATCTAACAAGTTTGCGAAGGACCCGGCGTGTAGCCTGGCTTCTGGGAGGCTGGGAAGATCGGGGAGGGAAGCCAGAGGAGAGGAGATGCTGCCAGGAAGATTACGGGGGCCCGCTTCGAGAAGCTGCTGACACTTAACAGGGCCCAATTAAAGCCATTACACGATTAATTATCTAATTAATTTATATCGGGAGAGTTATAGCTGCGCCCCTGGACCGCACGCGCTCGTGTTCTCTCTGGAGGATTTCGATTTAATCGCCGTCAGCCGCCGTCCTCTGGCTTGGCTTCGATTGTCACTACGTCAGGCGCTGGACTCGACCTCAGCCAGCCTTCCCTGCCCTTTGCTCTCTCTCTCTCTCTCTCTCTCTCTCACCTACGTGCGCATCCTCCTCTTCCCTCCCCGTGCCTTTTGGAGTCTCTTATCGTTTCGCTACGCTCTGCTGGCTGCTTGACTGGCCGAAGGGTCGACGGGGGAATCGGACGTGGAGTAAAGGTTCGCGACGGTAGCAAAGTCCGGCGAAGGAGGAGGAGAGGCAGAGGCAGTGTCCCAAGGAGGAAGGAGGAAGCCGTGAGACGGGAGTAGGTGCGTGAGTGCGTGAGTGCGTGAGTGCGTGTCAGGGTGGGCGCAGGAGGCGCAGGAGGCGCAGGAGGCACTAACCCCGGAGCAGGGCGAAATGCCACCTGGCAACTTTTTGCAGGGGCGCGCGATGCGATATTGTTTTTGCGAAGCCGAGCTGCCCCCACTTCCGGTGTTGGTAGGGGCCGATCCAATCAGGAGACAGGACCACGCCCCCCCACCCACGCGCACCTGCGACACGCCCACCAATGAGAGTGCGAGCCTTCGTCTTCTTGCTTATCCCGTTTGCTTCATGTGGCTTCGCTCTTCGCCGTTCGCTGCCTCCTGGATGATCCTGCCTCCTCTGTGTTCTCTCTCTCTCTCTATCTCTCTCTCTCGCTCTCTCTCGCTCTCTCTCTTTCTCTTTCTTGCGCCTTAGCTCGCCAACCTGTGTCTCAACAATAATATCAGGAGGAGCACGGGATCCTTTTTTTTCAGGATCAGTGCGCGGCCGTCATTAAGGCTTTAAGGCTTCCTCGTGTATTGGCGCGCCAGCAGGGACACCCTCCTGTCCTGCTGAGGAATCCAAAGAGGCGGTCCAGCGAATATTGCATTTTCAGTCATTTCCCAGGGAACCAGCAGTGGCTGGCATTAGCTGCAGTGGTAGCAGTGGTACCAGTGGTAGCAGTGGTTGCAGTGGTTGCACTGCCAGCCAAGATTTAGGAAAATGAAGCGACTGCATCTCGAGTCTCGCCTGGGTCAACTGTCAAATGTCAAATGTCATCTGGCAGCGCATCCCAATTAACGAATAATTTCGATCGAGTCAGGATTCGTCCTTTGAAATTCGAGAGGAAGTCTTTCTCCTTTCTCCTTTCGGCACCAGCTCGATCCTCCATTTCCGCCTCTACCACCCTGCAGGCGCACTTCCGCCAAAGGCAGCTACTCGAGCGTATCAGCTAAGCAAAGTTATGCGCCTTGAACTTGGCTGCTCGTGCACGAGGCACGCGGACGAGGGAGGAGCTAAGACCATTTTTGAAAAACAGCTGAAAAACGCGCGGCTCGCCGTCCAAATTTGGAAGCCTGCCCGAGTCTGGCCTTTTACGTGCAGCCGCGCCGCGCCAATGGCCGCCTTCCGCGCGCAACTCCAAAGAAATTTCAAAGTCGTGTTCTGACACCGTCCTACTCGAGCCTGGCGCGTCCCTTCCCACCCCCTTCGGTACCTGCTGCATTCATTCACTCGGGGTGAATATCAATTCTCACATTCAAGCGACAAGCATTAGGCCAGGTAGAATTCACTTTTCAACATATTTCCGGACAATAGAAAGTTCTTGACGTTACTACACGCTGCCGTTATAACCTAAGAATCAGCTGCGCGTAGCGTAACGAGACGAGTTAATAATGTTTTTCCAGAAGGAGCCCCGCATGGGCGCGATGGACCACATGGACCACATGGACGATGCGAAGAAGGTTCCCGTCGAGCGGAAAAATCAACACGGCCAGTTAATTTTATTCTGATTTATGAAAATTAATGAAATCCGAGAACCCCTCGATTCGCGAGTCCGGATGAAAAAGGTTCGATTGCAGGGAAGACCTGAGCGACAGACGCGACAAGGAGGGGAGAGGAGAGGAGAGGAGAGGAGAGGAGTCCTTCTAGTCGCCGCTCGAGGATCCCGAGTGGTCGCTGCCTGTGACGATCAGCTGCGCCCTATGCAAATAATGCGATTGTAAACACGTTTGATTGATTCAAAAGGAAGGAGTAAGAAGTCTGAAAGTACAGATAGTCCCGGCACGAGGATGAGGATTAAGGCTGAACCGCAAAGGACGATAATGCCGCCTTTTTATGCGAGTTTAACGAACGCTCGTACTTGTGGCTGTCGAGCGGAAAAGTGGTGGGACGGCCCGAAGGGGAAACCGGCAGAGCAGTGTGTTGCACTTTCAAAGCCTTTTTGTCCTCCGAGCCAATAAACTTCTCTTTCGTTTGGTCTTTATGAGCTTCTCTCTCTCTCTCTCTCTCTCTCTCTCTCTCTCTCTCTCTCCCACACACGGGCGACAATCACCAATTCCCCGGCAACAAAATATCTTTCCACGCTGCGCGTCTTTCTTCCCTGCTTCTGTTCAATATGCATTTTTTTTTAATTATTACGCAACTAAAAGGAGAAGAGAAGAGGACGATGCAAAGATGAAAAGGACCGAACGGTGGCGTCTGTCGCGCAGCTGCCGACTGCCGGAGCAACCTGGCATCGCGTCCTCGAATTCTCAGAATTTTCCTCCAGAGTCTCAGAAACGCAATGGAAAAGAAAAGACGAAAAATCGGCTCGGCCGCGCGACTTGTTTTCTGGCAAATTAGAAAAGGGAATTGTATTCATAGACGCGACAAGAGTCGATAGCACAAGTACGATACGGAAAGACGGAGGCTGCGTGGAGACGCGGACCGTCAAGAGATGAGGTGTCGGGCGATTGGGCGATTAAAAGAAAACAAATGTTTGTAAGTTATGACTCACCTTGCTCTGCACGTAGTCGAGGGCCAACATGCAGTCGGAGTATCCGCTTTCCGTCTTGATGGTTGTCGCACCCTGTCCTGGTGCACTCGAGCAGAATCCAGATCCCACGACGCCGACTGGACCGCCGAGACCGGCGGCGG